TCTGATGCTGCTTGGCCTGCTGTGTTCATCCAGCTCTGCACCTTGTTGTCTCAATATTCTGGAAATGTTTTTGGTGAATGTGGAGTACGAAGGGGTGAAACTCTGTGTGGGAGAATGTTCAGAACCTGTGGGAGGAGTTCAAATGGGAAGGGGAATAGAGTCTATGGTAGGATCAAATGCTCTTGGGCCGTACAAGAAGATTCAATGAGTGGCAGTGTCAGTGATGAGAGTGCAGGAGGGATGTCAGGAGCAGCAGCCTCTCTGCTTACTGCTTTGTTGTTTGGCTGAATTGCTGCATTTGACACAGCAGGTCATCGTTTTTGCTGTTCAATGGTGATTTTGAGAAAACATTCCAAAAGTGCCTGAGGCATCTCACTCCTTGTAAGTGGTTCCCTCAGTTCAAATCTAAAACGACCTATCGCCAAAAAACAAACTGACACTTTGATACACAGGACACATTCTCCTGGGCCCTGCTACTTCCTCTATCTTCACTGTTAACACTGTGCTGTGGTTGGTAGGTTTCTCCTATGCAGCCCTTGGGATCCTCGAACAACACAGCCCTCGTCTTAACTTGACCAACCTTTCAGCATGGCCTGATCCTTTCTGTCCGCTGCCCTCTAACTACATCCATCATTGTTTCCCAGGATTCCTGCTCATTCAGGTACAGTAAGGGCACGCGAAGGCTGCAAGTAGAATTCCAATCCTGACAAATCCAGTCATATCCATACATCACACTCTTTAAACTTCAACATAGTACACAGCATGAGCACAGGGCCTGTCCTGTATTTTAAAATATAAAAGGAGTTTTAGTACATTGATGGCTGTCCTCTTGCAAATGTCAGTGAATTCAGAGCAAGCAGTGTTTTTTTCGAGGGGGAGAATATCTACTTCTACAACCTTCATTTCACTTAGTGTGAAGGAAACATTTGTCTCCATCATCAAACAACTCAACAATGAACAGCATTGGGCTCTGCTCAATCCACAACTGAAGAGAAACTAATCAGCAAGCTGAAAATAGGCAGGACATTTATAAAATGTACAATACTTATTCAATAACTGTCTTTACAAAATGTCATTTCTCAACAACCATAAGATTCCCCTTAATGCAGCAGAAAATGTACAGGGTTTACCTTTCCAACAAGATTTAAAAAGAATTTCATATATAGCAACATAATTTTATCATAGGGCCCCATACAGAGACACACAAATATTTCATCAGTACATTAGAAAACACATCTTCCTATTATTATAGATAAAATGTGTTCCATCTTAAAGCTGGACTTTTTTAAAAAAAGATGCAATAATTTCACTAAAAGTTTCGTAACAGTCATTCATTCTAGAAGCATAAAAATACTGTGGCACATTCAGCAAAGACACAGCATTTAACCCCTCAACTTTCCAATATCCTTTGCTGCTTTGAATTACAGCTTAAAAATTGATTCATAAACATGCTGGAAAATTAGGACACTATAGTTTTTTTAAAAAAGTCTGACTTCTAATAGAAAGGAGAACAGACATTCTATAATGAATATTCCTTCGTATCTATTTTCTTTCATTTTGCCCCAATTATAACCTTTAAAAGTGTTCTCCAATTTTCCTTTAGATTGGAAAACTTGCACAAGTCACTCTGCTATTTGGGAAAGAAGAATAGAAACCAAGGAATTCCAGCCCAGAGTTTCCTGAAAGCAGCTGTCAGGAAATTACTCAAGTCTAGAATTCGAGGCAAGGTGATTGAAATCACACGGAACAGCTAATCTGACAGAACCAGCAAGGATTTGAAATGGACAGTCATACCTGACTAACCTGATTTAGTTGCTTGAAGAGGTCGTTCTAAAGTAGTGGAAGGTTAATGTCTACAGGCACTGTACATCTTGAAGACATTTGATAAAGTTCCTCATAAGAGACCCAGCTAAAGTTGAAGCTCATGAAATTGAAGATAAATTATTGACCTGGTTGGGAAATTGGCCAACAGCCAGAGTAGGGAGGATTGACAATATATTATGATTGGAAGGAAGCTGATGAGCTATTCCTGCAGGAACTAGTGGCCTCAGCTCTTCACTGTGATCAGAACGGGGTTTGGTAATGGCGGTAGAAGGTCATGTCAACAGATTTGATCATGACACAAAGGTAGGCAGCACTGGAAGCAGAGAGAAATTAGTCTGAATCGTCAGCTCATCCATGTTAAACCCAAAATGAAAAGAACAGGAGATTCTCAAAATGATGGAAAGCTGGAAACAATTAGGAATGACACAGCTCATGTTGATAAATCATTAAAATGTTATGAGCAGATAAAGGAAATATTGAAACAGGTAATTGAAATGCTGACTTTTATAACTTGAGACTAGAATACAAGGACTGAATGTCATGCTTCAGCTGTTCAAAGCCCAACTGAAACCATGCCCAGCTCTGAGCATTACATTGCATTGGGTTTGGAATAAATGGAGTGTTTATTTTCCGAATATTACTGTGTACTGCAGGAATGTATTTGCTGCCCTCATCTTTCTAGATGGTAGCAGTTCCAAGTTTGAAAGGTGTAGATAAAATGTTAAAAATGGAGGCCCACTTTTTCAGTGATTGATGTGAAAGAATTCTCTGGTATTATTCACAGAAAATCAGGGGACTCTCACCTCAACCAAGACAACTCATTCACCTCATTGTTGTTTGCAGGATATTACTGGGCCCAATGCAGTTTAAAGAAATCATAATGTGTGCATGAAATCTTTGTATTGAGACATTTGTGCAAATTCTTTTAGTGAGGGCTACACAGCAGGTAATAAACAAGAGAGATGTGCAAGAGGATTATATTCTGAGACCTGCCTCTTGCAATTCAGCAGCCAGAATATTCTATTAAATAGAACGGCTAAGGCAAATGTGCAAAGAACTTCTATAGACGTATAACAGCTATACGTGTAACAGCTGGGAACACTCCACAATGCAACCTTGCAAACAACTGTGAATGTAACGTAATGAGAAATGGAGATTGAGGCTCGAGCAGTCTATCACAGGCACAGTGTTTGTCAGCAGCTACAGTGCAGTGCCAGGCAACTGCACAAAAATGACAGATTCCAATCCAATGGGATCTCCCTCGTTGCTGCCTCACAGTCATGAATGAGGCCAGTGAAGAGCAGCAATGGGGGAAGGTGAGGTGGGTGAGAAAGGGGCACAGTGATTCCCAGCAACAAAAAGAATAGAGACAGGCAGGAAACGAGAGTGAAGGATTGCTGAGCAGGAGACTGTGATCAGAAACTGTGATTAACTCCAGACTCTGGAATGTTGATCTGGATGGAAGCAAGGCAATAGAGGCAGTCCCAAGGAGGAGGCAACATTTAAACAGTGCAAATTGGCTCAAAACTACTTCCCTTGTTCTGTTATCTACTTTTTAAAACTGAACACAAATTCTGAAATTGCCCTGATGAGATTCTCTGGAACAGAATCAGTGCACTCCTCTAAAGTAAGCAACAGTGCTGCCATCTGAAACTGAAGGGAAAACCAAACAGCCAGCAAACCAGAGAGAAAAATAATAGCAAGGCTAGTGTTTCAGGCAAGAAGCACAGCAAATCCCACCTGCCTCTGTCAGACTTCAAAATTCCACAGGCTTGTTGGATCTCTCAAACCCCCCTGCAACCCATTCAAATCCTGAGCGTGTGATAAATGGACTACCCACAATATTAATGTGCGTTTACGTTTCTGATTCTGCTGGGTATTGCTACTAGCTGTTTAAACAACATTTCTCAAGTCAACAGACCCATGCTCAGTACCAGACCTTGACATTCCAGCACTCTACTCCCCGAACCAATGAAATAAACACAGTGAAACTGCCGCTTAGCAAGTTTGATATTGGAAACCCACAGTCTTTTCTACAAGATCACAGCTCAACGTCAACAGACAGAGAACTGAAGAGAGGAGCAAAGGGGTTGGGGAGAGACCCCAGCAGCTAGATGGAGCATCTCCTGCATTGAATCAGCACTGGTGACGTCAGTGACTGTTGAGGGCACTTTTAGTTTCTGTGGAGTCCATTTTGTAAACTGCTGCTTTTCTCCGCTCTCAGAACTCTGAATACTCTCCAAACACAGAATCACTGAACGTAATGCTCTTACCAATAGCAGAAATATATGCATCTTAAAAACTTAAATTAAAATAGACAATTCAAAGAAAAACCCCTTTCCACAAAAATATGGGCACAGTTGACACCCACCTCCCTGTCTACTGCCCTAGGCTGTTAGCCTCCTGCCCAGAGCCAGTGTTTTCAGTGAATGGTGGGTGCCCACTATCAGAGAAATTATGGGCATGCTCGAGAAACAAATCCTTTAAGACGCTCAGCTCCTTGCTGAGCAGCTTGATTTTTGCTTCCAGCCGCTCATTCTCCTCCTTCAGCTCGTTGACTCTCTGCTGCGTGTCCTGAGCTTTCTGCTTACTCTTTAATCGGCTCTTCCTCACAGCCATGTTGTTGCGTTCCCGACGCTGTCGGTACTCTTCGCTCTCCTTGTTGTAGCTCACACTCTTCTTGTTCTGTTTGCTGGGTGCCATGGCCTTGCCAGCCCCCGAGGGGCTGAGTGGATGGAGTTGCGGGACTTGCTGTACGCTGCCACTGTCACTACCCTGGAGCTGCACTCTGCTCACTCCATTCTGACCCGTGTTCTCTTTGGGATGAGCGGAAATGACAGGACGTGCACTCATTTGGGTCAACAGTCACTTTGATGATGTGGACTCTCTTCACGTTGAGCTTATAAAGAGGGAGACACACTCCCAGGTGTAAGGGTGATCGTAGCAGGTCCACAGAACCTAGAAACAAAAGCAGGATATAGGTAACAGCACAGAAACTGACAAAACTCCAAATGGAATTGGATTTCTACAACAGATTCTACTTTTACAGACATTGTTTCATTTATAGTTTTTGCCTTTGAAAAGCTTTGGAATCTTTCATTTAATTAGAGTGGTTATAAACATGTTGTCATTTGGAAATGACATGTACCTGGTCTGTGGATACTGCAGCGGGGTGATAACAATGAGACAAACAGAAACAGAGACAGAATCATCCCATTTTCGGCCCCATGTGTTTAGCAATCTGTCCAATGCAATCTCTCGTGTTGGGGAGAAGTTGGGATTACCTGGCTCTCAACTCAAGAAAAGCTAACCAACCAACATGTTAACAGCATTTCTCTCTTCACAGACACACAGATTTCAGTTTGTTTATAGAGGCCCAGGTCTAGTGATTCACAGAAACTGTTGATGGTTACAGCAGATAGTGCGGAGACTAATTACAACTGGCAGACTTTGCACTGTGTCAATTTGCCAGCCAATTGAGTGAACACTGTATTACAGACCACGGTTGTGCTTTCAAACTTACTTCAGACCAGAACGGTGAGCCTGGGAATGGGGTAAAAGCATCCAGACATCAATAAATGATGAGCATGAGGTTAAAAGGTCAAAGGAAGAACAGGGTTGATTCTTATTAAAACAGCGTTCCCAAATGAATAATGTGAAATAAATCAGTGAAACTTTAACAATTCTTTCTCACATGTCTCCTGCACACAAACTTAAATCTGTGTCCCCCAACCTTATATCCTTAGCTAATGGAACAGCAATTCCTCATCTCTCTCAACTAAACTTGTTACAACCTTGCAAGGAAAATATTTCCTACTTAAACTGTTCAGTGATATTATTACTCATTCTGGAGCAGGTGGGATTTGAACCCAGGTCTCCTGGCCCAGAGGTTGGGACACTACTGCAGCACAAGAATCCTGTTTCCTTAGTCAAATCCCACTTCAAACCCCTGTGCTCCAAGGAGAACAATCCCAGTTTTTCCAACCGAACTTTGTCACTAAAATCCTGCATCCCTGGAACCATTCTGATAAATCTCCACTCCACCCTCTCAAAGAGCCTCACATCCTTCCTAAAGCACAGTGACCTGAACTAGGTGCAATATTCCAACTGGCACCTAACCAGAGTTTTATAAAAGGTGCAGAAAAATGTCCCTGCTTTGGTAACCAATGTTTCTACTTATGAAAATCTGAAGATCCCACTTGTTTTGCTAATCATCTCTCATTACATCCTGCCACCTTCAAAGATTGATCAAGATGTGGGCTGTGTGAAAGACATAAAAACATTAGCATGAAAAGTGCAGGTTTCTTCAAAACTCAACCAGTTTACTAATGTTTTCAGGGATCTCCTCCCAATCCAGGTTCCAGGACAACAGATCCTGCTGTATCAAACAGGGAATAATCAAAAAAGATTTAAAACTAAAAACAATTATTTAAGTAAAATATGATATAATATAGCTGAATCTAAGGTAGGAATAACACCAGCGACTAACCCAACATTGTTCTGCAGAACATACCCAAGAGGTAGCACATCTCAGGAGTAACACACATTAAAAGAACAAATGGGAGGGCACGTCCAGCCAGGCCACATGCATACAACTCAGGGATAACAAAAGGTGCAATCACTGTGATGGGGTTACACTATAGCCAGCAGCAGATAGAAAAGATACGTAGGCAGATCGTGGAAAGATGTTAAGAAGATCGAGTTGTTGAAGTTGGTGATTTTAATATTGACTGGGGTTCCCTTTGTGCCAGGGGCTTAGACGCGGCAGCATTTGTTAAGTGCATCCAGCAGGGTTTCTTGAAACAGTGTGTAGATAGTCCAACAAGGGAAGGGGTCATACTAAACTGGGGAATGAACCTGGCCGGGTGATCAAAGATTCAGTGAGGGAGCATTTTGGAAACAGAGATCATAATTCTGTAAGTTTTAAGACAGTTATAGATAAGGATAAGACTGGTCCTCGGGTGAAAGTGCTAAACTGGGAATAACCTAATAACATTAGGTAGGAACTGGAGAAATTAGATGGGGGCATTGCAGTTTGAGGGTAAATCCACATCTGACATGTGGGAGGCTTTCAAAGGCCAGCTGATCAGAGTTTAGGACCGGTATGTTCCTGTGAGGATGAAAGATAAGGATGGCAAGATTCGGGAACCCAAGATGACAAGACATATTGAAAGTTTAGTCAAAAAGAAAAAGGAAATATACATAAGGTTTAGGAAACTGAAATCAGACAAAGCCCTTGAGGAACGTAGTAGGAAAGAACTTAAAGAATTAGGAGGGCCAAAAGGAGCCATGAAATGTCTTTGGCAAATATTTTATACATACATAAGGAGCAAGAGGGTAACTAGAGAAAGGGCAGGTCCACTCAAAGACAAAGGAGGGAATTTATGCATGGAGCCAGAGGAAATGGGTGAGGTCCTTAATGAGTACTTCACATTGATAGTCACCAAGGAGAAAGGCATGAATGATGGTAAGGTTAGGAAAGGGTATGTTGATACTCTAGAACATGTCAATATTAAGGTGGTGGTGTTTAACGTCTTGAAAACCATTAACATAGAAAAGTCCCCAGGGCCTGATGGGATCTATCTCAGGATACTGAGGGACCAAGGGAGTAAATTGATGGGGCTTTGACAGAGATCTCTGTATCCTCTTAAGCCAATAGTGAGATTCCAGAAGACTATAGAATTGCCAATGTTGTTCCTTTATTTAAGAAAGGTAACAGGAATAAACTAGGAAATGATAGGTTGGTGAGCCTTATGTCAGTGGTAGGGAAATTTTGGAAAAGATTCTTAGGGACAGGATTTACTCACATTTGATAAAGAATGGAATTATTAGGAATAGTCAACGTGGCTTTGTGCAGGGGAGATCTCGTCTCACAAATCTGACTCAGTTCTTTTGAGGAAGTGATGAAGATGATTGATGAGGATAGGGCAGTGGGTTGTCTACTTGCAGTTTATTAAAGCATTTGACAAGGCCCTTCATGGTAGGCTGGTTCAGAAGAGTAAGTCACATGGGATCCACAGTGAGTTTGACAGTTGGATACAAAATAGGCTTGTTCATAGAAGACAAAGGGATAGTTTTTCTGACTACAGGTCTGTTACCAGTAATGTTCTGCAAGGATCAGTGTTGGGACCTCTTATTTGTAAGATATATAAATAATTTGGATGAAAACGTAAAACAAAGAACCGCAGCTACTGGAATTCTGAAACAATAACAGAAACTATGGAGAAACTCAGTGGGTCTGTCAGCATCAGAAGGAAGAAAGGAGAATTAATGTTTCAAGTCCAGTGACTCTTCAACAGAATTTCATCAGTCACTGGACTCGAAACATGAACTCTGCTTTCTTCTCTCTGATGCTGCCAGACTTGCTGCTGTGGATGAAAATGCAGGTGGGTCTGATTAGTAACTTTGTAGATGACAAAAATTGGTGGAGTTGTGGCTATTGAGGAAGGTTGTCAAAGTATATAGCAGGTCACAGATCAGTTGGAAAGTTGGGCAGACAAATGGCAGATGGAGTTTAATCTGGACAAATGCGAGGTGATGCATTTTGGGAGCTCAAATGGAACAGGGAAATATACAGTTAATGGCAGGACTCATGGGGCATTGATATTCAGAGGAATGTTGGGGTACAAGTCCATAGCTCCTTGAAAGTGGCAACACAAGTGGGTAAGGTGGTAAAGGAATCTTGCTTGCCTTCATCGGTTAGGGCATTGAGTATAAAGTGTTGCCATGTCATGCTGCAGTTGTATAAAATTTTAGTTAGATCACAGTTGGAGCAGTGTGTGCAGTTCTGGTCGCCACACCATAAGAAGGATGTGGAGGCTTTGAACAGCATGTAAAAGAGATTTACCAGGATGTTGCCTGGATTGGAGTGTATAGGTTATAAGGAGAGGTTAGACAAACTTGGATTGTTTTCACTAGACTGTCAGAGGCTGAGGGGCGACCTGATAGTAGCATACAAAGATAGAGACATGTGCAGACAGGACAGTCTGAGTGTTATTCCCCAGGGTGGAACAGGGAAAGGGCATTGGTTTAAGCTGAGAAGGAGAAAATTTAAAGGAGATGTGCGAGGCAATTTTTTTTGAAATACAGAGGGTGGTAGGTACCTGGAACGTGCTGCCAGAGGAGGTGTTGGAAACAGATAAGATAGTAATGATTAAGAGGCATTTAGACAGATATGAACAGGCAGGGAAGAGAGGGATACAGGCCATGTGCAGGCAGATGGGATTAGTTTAAAATAGCATCATAGTTGGTACAGACATGGTGGGTACAGCTAGTTGGTGCACTAATAACAAAACAAATCAGTCAGAATCAGAGATAACACAGTGTGGAGCTGGAGGAACACAGCAGGCCAGGCAGTATCAGAGGAGCAGGAAGAATTTCTGAAGAAGGGTCCCTACCCAAAACGTCAACTTTCCTGTTCCTCTGATGCTGCCAGGCCTGCTGTGTTCCTCCAGCTCCACACTGTGTTATCTAAGTTAGAGTCAATAATCACTCTGCCAACTAAATGTTTAATCAGGCAGACAATGCTAGAACCAGTGATTCCAACATCTTTCCACAATGAAATATCACCAAGCCAGGTACTGCTTTCAATGACTGTAGGCTGGGACTGAGTTACCAGTTACTCTCAGACAAAGTCCTGTGCCAGTGACAAAGGGATGGCAAACAAGGTATTTTCAAAACTATGGCAAAAGTTTGTACTGCTTTTCAATATTTGGAAAGGAATATCTTCAATACATCAAAACTAATCATTCCAAACCACAGTCTGGGAGTGAGATCCAACAATAAACCAGGTCTCAACATGATGCAGACAGTTCCAATTAGGAGGAGGAGGAATTACTAAATCAGGGAAACAAACCGGGACAAAATCTCCTTCAAATTAATCCTGCTTCCTCATTCCCCTGCCAATTTCCTTCCCTTCTCCCCTGCAAATGCCAATTTAACATCAGGGTACTG